ATCCAAGCAGAAAGTTTGGATATATTCCTTTCTATTACTAGACAAGTCTGCTGCGTTATGGACTTTTTCTCTGCAGCACTGATTTTGTGTTGCACAGCTAATTCTGTCACACAGCAGTGTGCAACACAAGAAGACACTATGTCAAATATTGCAACATTATCAGCAAAAGTAATATCTGCTAACACAGCACGACAGCTAGACTTTATGCTGCACGCTCACATGGAGCCTTGAAAACAAGTAAGAACCACATATCAGCAGCTTAATTAGACTCAAGTGCTGATGAAACGGGTGAAAAGAGATAAAGAAATAAATATAAGGCACAGGATGTGCTCATTTCAGTATGTTTCATCAAGTTTTAAAGTCAGTCTGTTCTGCTCTAATATAAAATCAGATGATTCAGCTCATGTTGGCTGAGTAAAGAACAAAGCAGTGACGGAAACAGCAGCTCTGGATGATCCGCGGCTATTTCCAGTCGTGTGACAGCGAGCTGTGTGTATCAGATGCATTTCACTACATTAGTGTGCGGCTGACGAATATAAGCAAGAGGAGGGGAAACGCAAATGTAAGGATGTAACACTTTAATGTCCCACGAGAAATCAATCGTAACAGTTGAGGAACGATAATGAAAAATACTCTGATTCTTTGTAAATCACAGTTACAGTTACAATGTTTCAAGACATGCTGAGCAGTTTCAGTCCCCATACTGCTTTTTATTTCTTACACTAAGCTGTGTTTCATACATTCAATCGTACAAACACAGACAGTCTTAGAGCAGAATAAAATGAACTATGTCTATAGTGTGTGTGAGATATAATGTGACAGCTTAGAGCTTAGCTTTCTGAAAAAATCTTGGCATAAACTTTGATAAAGGTTGAAACTTTGTGTAGCTGTCAAAGGTTGCAGGGCTGTGTAGGCCCCGAAGCTGCTGCTTTTTTAGAATAGCAGCAGTAAATCCTGGAAGCCTACACACTGTACGTGCAGCGCCCACTCAGCTGTCCTGCAGGCAGAGAGGACCCTAACGCAGGCCCCACAGGCTGACAGGATAAACAAAAGCAAACCTTTATTTAGGCAAAGTCCAGAAAGTCAGTACCATAAAAGAAACGGCAAACTAATCCTTCAACTGACAGCGAGCGCACCGGGAAACCACAGGACAGAGGGAGGAATAAGTCGTACACACACATGCAATCAAGGGAGGTAAAGCTGAATCCAAGATAAATGGACAAAAAAGACCGGGGATAGAGGGAGGAAGACTACATTTCAAATTCAAACCATAAAGAAACCAAACAGGAAACAGCTGTTATAAGAAAAACTCAAATCACAAGATCCAAAAAAAACCCCAAAACTCGCGTTGAAACCCTGAAGGTCCATCACCGAGCTGCTAAAAGCACAATAGTAGAACTGTGCTGCACAGTAGTGTGTGTGAGATCTCTGAAATCACATCTTGCTTCTGCCTGCGTTGCTCCAGCACGTTTGCCCTGAGCACGTATGCCTCCCAAGATGCCTTTCTCCGAGCCCGCTGACAGACATGCAGAGAAGTACAGCCTCGCTGCACTGGTGTGCAAGAGCAGCTCTTTCACGTGAGCTACCGATCGGCAATGACGTGAAAACCACAACAAGTGAAGCGACCTTGTTACATGTGAGGGATGTGATGTTACTCTGACATGTACACCCACATGAACTCAGCCTGTATCGTCCACATTTCTGATGATGAAATTCCATCTACTGAACTGCGAACAGACTGAAAATGTGTTAGCAAAGGATCCTGGAATCGCAACTGAACATTAGCGCAGTTTGTTGTCTAGGAGATACTTGAAGCACACGAGTACTTCACAGAGATCACGAGGATAAATTCAGGCTTTTGATGTGGCTTAAATATAATTTTTAAACCTGGACCGTGTGACATCATCACACTTCCAACAAATTAGATTCAGAAAAGTGTGATGAGTAGATGACATAAAAAATAAAAGCTAGAGAAAGTCTGTGGGAATAAATGTCAGATTGGGCAATAAACAGTTTCCTTAGTTTAATAAATCAGAAACATGAATCAGTGGCTGATGAGCTCATCTTACTAACACCAGATTATCAGGTGTGTTAAATAAATGCTGGATCATAGAGCACACAGAGCTCAAAAGCAGTTTCTGGTGCTGTGTGAAAAAGTTTAATGCAAAAAAACATCCTCGTAACTGCAGAATTAAGTTTTATGTTGTCGACATCAGTGTGTACAGCGCAGACGCATTATGGTTTCTCTCTGCAGCTGATCACGTTCAGCAGTGCTGTGACCTCCACAGTAGTGCTGAGAAAAGCATCTCATGTCACACGTTTGAGTAAAAAGCGCTTTCTTCATCTTGGTGCTAACAATGTTCCATCTCCTCCTCTCCGCTTTACGTGGCAGAAGAAGGACATGGAGGTTTTACGGGGTTACTTGTCTCTCCATCAAGCGGGGGATAATCTCACGCTGAAGTGGACACCCAATCAGCTCATCAATGGCACACTGGGAGACTGCGACCTGGAGAAGAGGTAGCCCGAGTGTACGAACACATGAGCTAGCGTCTCAGAAATGAACAGTTTGAATGCATCAGATAAAGTCTGCTTGATACAAAAACAAATTAGTAAAGAATGCAGATGTCGCACACACACGTTTGGCACGTCGCAGGCGGATTGTCGTGTCATGATTTGTTGTAACAGACACACCTGAAGCAAACCTACAATATTCAGGTGTCACAGAAAGTGTTTCAGGAGGTTGTGCTGGTGTTGTTATTGGCTCACAGGTGAGTGAGAGCCTCGGCTTTGATAAATACCTGCGCATGCATTTACAAACACACTGGTCAAGATCAGTTGGTAAATGATGTCTCGTGTTCTTCTTCACACGGCCGAGGGGCCACCCTGAGCTTATACACAGAGCTCTGCTTCACATAGATGCTGCTCTCTGTGGGAGACCTTCCAGAGATCAGTTTCACAGGAAACCTCATGACTGATTCATGTCTCGCTGATCTAAATTATCTTTCTACTTTCAGGGAGAAATACTAGATAGGTAGATATAGATATATATAGTTGTGCATCATCTATCTATGTATATATCTATGTATTAACAGATTAACCTAATATGTCTGCTCTCTGTTTTTGGACTGCATTTGCTATGATTGGGTCTACATGTGTGTTCCTGGTTCATGCATCGTTGTGGATCATCAGCAGATCGTTGTACTCCCGTCACTCTTATGTTACTAATCCAACACACGTGCTTCTCCTTAGTATCTACTGGATTACGCACTCACTGTTCCTCTGCGCCAGATAGTATGCATCCACTGTCACCAACGCTGTGAGTATACTGCTGCATTCAGTCCCCACACACACACACACACACACACACACACACAGTCTGTCACGTCAAATTTAGATCATGTCATGAAGAATCTGTTTCATGATGTCACTGATCATGACAAAGTATACACAGAGAATCCCTCTCCTCCTTTTCCTCCTTTTCCATTTCTTACATGCACAAACCTTCAGTTTCTTTTTACAGTATCACAGTTTATGTCTTGTCCACTATTAGAAGACAGTATTGATCCACTTTGTTCTTTCTTTGCCTGTTCATATTCCAGCTGACTGTGGGGGGACACTGGTTCTGGTCAGTCAGGATGGGATCCAGCGGCCACCCCTGCACTTTCCCCCTGGTGTCACCTGCTGGCCTTTCTCTCCTGTCTAGAAACGGGCCTGTTACCACGGGCCAGTTGGAGCCGCCTCTCTGGTCCCAAAAAGGAAAGGTAATAGCATGATTCAGGTAACAAATGAAGATCATAAAACACTAAAATAAAATAAAGCACAGTGAAGTGCCGTCAGACTGTAGTTATAGGACCTACAACCTACAGAGTGAATCTAACTTTGAGACAAGACCAAAAACTCAGAGTTGAAACTTTGTGCAGGTGATGAGATGATGCTGTGACCAATAAACAGTTTTTACATCCAGCACTTATATTTTGAGGCTCCTTAGACTGCTGATGTCATGAAATGGTATCAATACATAAAGCCCGATACAGCAGATATGTGTAGAATCGAAACCTCTAAACTGTGAAGGAATCTCAAAATTTTATATTTAACTAAAGTTCGTCACCATCAACATAAAAACTCAGCTGCCCTGCGTCAAAAAGTAGTCCCCCTCAAACCTAATAACTGGTTCTCCACCCTTAGCAGCAACAACTGCAATCAAGTATGTGACAGAACTTTACTGCTTCACAAGAAGAGCAGCTTTGGACTTTTATTCCTTAATAAATGAAATCACTACATGTTGTATTTACTCGGGTTGAAACGGTGGGACAAACGTGCAAGAAGCCCAGGACTTAGACTGCTCCAGATTCGATTTTTCTGTCTACTCGTGGCTCTTTTACATCAGTGATATCTATAATATGAGCACAACCCCCCTAACCCCACCTGCAAGTCAGATGGCACGTTTGTAAAACCAGCCAATCAGAAGAATGGTGGCATAGTCAGTTAAAACAGCTGTTTTAGACAACAGATGAACCAAAGGTCTTAACCCAGGCGGCTCAGTGTTGGAGAATCCCACAAAGCTCATTTAAGAGCGTCCCATTAAACCTGTTTAAGTTGTGTCTTTGACCTGCATCACATGCTAAACCTGTCCTACAGGGTAAAGTATTCCCTAAACTGAGGAAGAGGAGTAGTGCCGCCAGGCTTATCGACCAGGAAGCCAACGGCGAGGAGCAGTCGGCCGCCGACTACGTGTTTCGCATCGTCTACCCTGGATATCGATACGAAGCCAGTAAGTAACAGCGCAGGCGCCCACGAGACAGACGTAGCTGCTCGTAACCAAAACGAACCTTGTTTTGTGGCGAACACTAATCTGATTAACGGCTACATGAATGTGTTTGTAAAGCACCCTGGTTTCTTTCCCACAATACTCTTGCAGAGCCATGCAGGGCACCGCTTTTCTAACTTTGTTCTCTGTTGTCCCACCGGTGCTAACAGTCACTATAAACTACCACCACACCACGGGCAGCCGCGCGCCATCGCTGGATGATGACGAGGAAGAGGAAGATAGGCTCCATGCTATGATCTCAATGATCTGCTCGCGGAACCTCACAGACCCTAATGTCATGAAAGGTTTTTATCACCTTAACACACCTACCCGACCCTGCTGCCCCACCCTCACCAAACCCTGCTGCCCACCCCGAGACCTCACCTCCGCTTCTCCTGCTCTTTCTTGCCTCCCATTATGTTGTCTCAGGCCCTCTCCCCTCCACCTCCCAACCCCACCCGTTCCAGCTTCGTCTGCCTGTGTATGTTCTCCCCGACTCCGAGCCCAACAGTGTAGCATGGGCTAGGGATGGTTGTGTTAGCAACTAAACAAAACCAGCGAGCAGCGCTTAGAGCATTAACACATTTATGTGAGATCACGGTAGGATCGTCAGCAGTACACTGCACCATAGACGTGGACGAGGGAGTTTCTCAATGGAAATCGCCACAGATTAACAAATAGATGGAAGAATCTTTTGGTGTTTGTCTTGTGTTGATGATGAGTTCTGGTTGGTGGAAGCTGCAGACTTAAATATGATTTTCATTTTAGGCCGCAACATCGTCTCAAACAAGCTAAAGGTCTTCTACTGCCTCCATCGAGGTTCTGGTTGAGTGCACTAATCAATATTTCATATGCATCATGTAAAATGAAAGGTGTGCTTATCATTTCCAGCCTACAGAAAATTAGCCCCACATTAGAACCATGAACAGAACTCTTCAGACTCGTCTAAGTAAGAGGCTTTTGTTGTTGTTTGCTCTTGTACGAAACACTAAATTCTTCCTTCATTGACTTTGTGTCCAGCTGCACCACATGAGTTAGTAGCTTCTGGGTAGTAGCTCCTTCTCTCACCCCACCAATCACAGCAGATGGCCCCGCCCCTCCCTGAGCCTGGTTCTGCCGGAGGTTTCTTCCTGTTAAAAGGGAGTTTTTCCTTCCCACTGTCGCCAAAGTGCTGCTCATAGGGGGTCATATGATTGTTGGGTTTTCTCTGTATCTATGAAGCGCCTTGAGGCGACTTTTGTTGTGATTTGGCGCTATATAAATAAAATTGAATTGGATTGAATTGGGAGTTTTTAGGGCACTGTGTCAGAAAAAGAAGAAAAGTACCTTCCAAAAATGTGCACCTGTTTGCAGTTAGCCTGTTGGTTATTTGGTCCAGAGTTTGTGTAGCTGACTGACCGTAGTGACTGCCTCATGACACATCCATTAGACAATGGTAGCATATCCACTACACAACCCAATAAAAGCTCGCTAACGTCCCTCAGAGTGACAGCTCGAACTCAGCTGCTGTGGCTTCTTTGCTGCAGCTGAGCCGTCAGCAGGGTTATGAAGCACTGCTAAGTTGTAGGTATTCATCAAAATGTGAAGCAGCTAATGTTCGTAATGTAACTATGTTACAAGTACTCTGACACGCTTCTTTGTTAAAAAGTTTAAAAATGCTACATTGTAAAATGTCTTGAAACAAAACAGAGTGTCAGTGATTTTTGTTGTGGTCAAACCATTTCCCCAGTAAACATTCAGACGTGGCTGCCCTGCTGGTAATATGGTGAGGTAACACACGAAGGATTTTTCAGTTAAACAGACTTTTTTAACTTTGTGTAAGCAAAATGAGAATAAAAGAGTAATTTAAAAAATTGCTATGACAACACAGTTTCTGGGAGCTCCGCACAGTGAGCAGCTCAGGGCTTTTTTAGGATACTTGTAGAGTCGGATACAGCAGCATCTCAGCTTATCTCAGGTTATCTGTTCAAACCACAGCATTCACTTCTAAATAGTGAAAGTAGTTTCTGTTCTAGCTGGAAGTTGGACGTTAAGAACACGCTGCGGTCACGCGTCTGGTTAATACTGCAGCAGCCGATAACACCCTCTCCCCGCCGCCTTCTGTTCCTGATTTCACTCTTTCTGTTTCTCTCCATCTTTCCAGCGCTCAGTGACACAGATAAATCCACTTCTTACACAAACCTGTGAAAGACAGGAAACGCGCTGTCTGATGAGCAGACTTGTTTTATAGTCACTGCAAATGTCTTTCAGCAGGTTTCAACACAGATCCAAACTTTCCCAGGTGTCCTCGCCTAGCCCTAGGGCTGCTTTGCATTCTGGGATGCTCCTTAGAGTTAAAAAAAAGGGTTTATCTGTTGAAGCATGCCCGAGTCCTGTTGGGTTTTCTCTGTCGTGGCTCTTTCTTTTGCACTCTGTTTCCTTTTGGCTCTTTCTTTTGTCACTTGCGACATGCTTGACAGTGTTTGCATGTCTGCGCCTGTTTGCTTTTAGAGAACGACTGTGTGTTTCTGCATATCTGTGATGGACTTTCTCACAGTCTCCTCTGTTTGTTTTTGATTTCTCTCTCCTCTCCAGTTTCTTCTTCTCTGTTCGTGCAGTCATTCGCTGCAATGCTGTTCACTGTAATTCTTCACTAACCCCACCACCCCACCCTCCCCTCGCCCCGTCCTCCACCCCTCTCATTATGGTCCTGTGGGGTTCCGCAGTAGTTGAGACGTGGAGTCCTGGTGTGAGCGGGGTTGCGTTACTGAGCCCAAAACCAGTTGTCGATCACGTCTAGTCCCAAAGTAAATCAGGAGGGGCCGATGTCGGTCTTGCTCCGGCACAATTTCTCTTTGCTTTTTTGCTTTTTTCGGTTCTGAAACTGACTTTTTATGGGGGGGGTTATCGAACGACCAAAGCACAGCTTCATATTCATGACAGGTCATCAGCTCCAACCTGAAGAATTAAGGTGAAGAGCATTTGTTAATGTTTTCTGATTTCTTCCCTCCCCTGTGTGTGCCCTGTTCCTGGTGTCCATTTGTTTTGGTTGTTTCGAGAGGATTTCTTTTGACGTCTCTTGTCTTGTTTTATGCATCCTGCACGGCCTGAGCGTGAGCCTCGCCCTCTCTACTGTCAGTTCCTCCTGTCTTCTGCTCTCCCGTTCATCTGGAGCATCGTCCCGAGCTCCGCTGTCTCTCTTGCCTCCTCTCTGAATGAACTGAACCGGCATCCTCTCAGCCTGTTTGTCCCACGGCACTGTTCCCGCTTCCCAAAACCATCCCCTTCCACTTTTGGTTTCCTTTGTTTTTCGAGCTCTCATATTTAACACGAGTCTAAAACTCTCCATCTCCTCATTTCTTAATATTGTGATGATGTATTTATGGTTGAGCTGAGGGACTAATGTCATAATATGTAAGGCTTAGCCTTTCACAGTAGGAGAGGAGTGTCGGGAAAAGAAAAGTGTCTCCGAGCACTGAAACCTCTCTGTCTTCTCGTTTTCCTTCTCTGGCTTAGACCACGGGGACATGATGGACACGCAGGGCTTTGGAGGCAGCCCGTCGTCATGGCAACAGGCTGAAGTCACCACTCACGAGTCCCTGTGCCAGTCCTGCTCCACTGCTGGCAGCAACCTGTCCTTTGACTACGCGTCTGGCTGTACCTGCATACACGACCCGTCAGATATTCACACGTATGCATCAAAGCAGAAGCTGCACTCGATTTGTTTAAGCTACCTGCAGCGTTGCATTAGCTTACAGGAGTTGTATAGACATTGTATAGATTTGAGAAAATCACATCTTGTAAATGTAAGAAAACATTGAATTTAACCAAAGTTTCTAATTCTATAGTTAAATATTGTTGTATTTAAGAGCCACGTGAAACCAGTACACATCAAGAGTAAAAGAGATGTTTAAATATTAAAATATTCTTGAAGCCTTTATTTATTTAGTGTTGATGTGATGCCACACTGAAGATATACACAGTGTACATGAGGTAGGACGAACGGGCCAAGAGCAGAGCTTTACTGTCTGTGGAAATAATCAGCTGAACACACAGAAAAGTACCAGCGATTTGAGACGGCCGTGGCTTCTTAGCTGTAACACAGTGAGAGATTGTACTGAACGGGGATCTTCACAGGTTATCTGTGCACTGAGAAACCACAGGCACGCACAGATCGATGAGACGGATCCATCTTCTGGAAACGTGTGACGATAACAAATGATTTCTTTTGTTTTCTCCAGTATTCCTCTGAAGATGCTCTGCCAGAACATGAAGCGGCAGATAGTCTCCAGAGCCTTCTATGGATGTAAGCACACTTTATTCTTGCGCTTTGTTTCCAGTGTGATCTGTGGCCAGAGCCTCGTATCGTATGTTCCACCTGGACTTTACGGAGATTTCAGTGAAATTACAGTGATCTTAAATGAACAGTTTCATATATTCAGTATGTTTGTGATGTAATGAAGAATTCATAAATACCGCCTGTAACAAATACGAGATTAGATTTAGTGTCACACATAATAAGTTGATTTATTGCAGCAGTGTGAGAACCTGCTGACCTGTGCGACCCTTTGAGTTACCTGAACTAATTCTGCGCTTGCTTTTTGTCCTTATGCACCATCTGCATCTCTTATGTAATAAATCTGATGTGGTTACATATTCTTTTACATATTTTTCTATATATTCTTCGAGGGTTTCGTTTGTTTCAGACCATCAATGTTACATTAGACAAAAAGTTTCAGTCACAGTTTTAAATGATTCATTAAGTTTTCAAACCTTTAAGGCCTCGTGTGAAGAGATGAGTGATTCGTCCACGGTGATGACGACTCATTGCCGGTTATTGCAAACACATGATTGTGCGGCACAATCAGTTCGTGGGTCTAACTCAGTTCACTTCTATTTATATAACACCAAATGAAAAACAGTTTGGATAACTTTTCCCTTAATGAATGAAATGATCATTTCAAAACTGCATTTTGTATTTACTCTGGTTATTAATGCCTAATCTTAAAACTTAGCTTGATGATATAAAACATGCACGTGTGGCAAATATGAAAAAAACGATGAAATCTGTTTCAAAGACTGATTGGAGCTAAACGTCGTCTCATCCTGACCCTACTGTTGTGCACATGTGCCCTTCAGGGCTGGCATACTGTCGACACCTGTCCACAGTGCGGACTCACCTGTCAGCTCTGGTCAACCACAACATCGTCCCCCCAGACAGACCCTGCGAGGCATCCGGGGGCCTCAGCAAAGAGGTGTGGAGCAAGTACCAGAAAGACTGCAAGGTGGGTGCAGCCATTAATCCTGCAGACCCTGCAACATAACGAGACTGCCCGTCCCTCCTCAGTCTGACACCCCCCACCTCTCACACACAATGGCAAATTTAAAACCCAGACACCACAGCAAATTGCCAAGTCATCATCTTGTCAGGGATATTGATCAGCACTGACAGACACAGTAAGTTACGGCTGTTTTGTGCTGTGCAGGCACTCTGTGAGTTGTATTTACAGTAATAGTGAGGTCATCTGATCCACACTGTGAGAAACGCTGCTTCAGAGAATAATGAGGAGCAAAGCAAAGGATGACAGGACGTATCTGCTGTGCTGCATAAGAAACAACTGAGTTACTGCGTGGGAGGAGCTGCACTCATGCTTAACTAGCAGTTTATTTATCAGGGACAAGTACAGGAAAAAGTCCAGTTCATGTGCATATAGTTCCTGACACCAGCCCCTTGATTGGTTTAAAAAGTGCCCGCCATGAAGAAGAAGGTCCTAGGTTTGAATCCACCATGTGCCGGGGCTTTCTGTGCGGAGTTTGCATGTTCTGCTCGTGTCTCCTCCCACAGTCCAAACACACGCAGTTAGTGGGGTTAACGGGTGATTCTTGAGTGCCTGTGGGTGTGAATGTGAACGGAAGGAAATCGTGTCTCGCCAGGCGCAGTGGGCTGTACTTCCTCAAGTCAGATGCATAAAGCATGAAAAAGGCCAAGCTGAATAACTGTGTAAACTATCATAAAACCTTTGTTGCTCTTAGTTGCAGATTACTAATTCATGAAACTTTTTGCCTAGAATCTACATTTTGTTTAATCTGAGCGTTGGGCTCTGTGGAAACCCAGAACCTACTAATGCCTGTGGTGATTTGCACACAGGCTCGGTTTAATGCATCCTTCCCAAGGATACTTAGACATGCAGACTGGGTTAGTTTGGGATTCAACCGCTGACCCGGTCGACCTCCTGAGCGATGGAAAAAAATCCCTAATAATTCCTCCCACCGGGATCTCAGTAACACATTCCAGAGCTTCAAGCACGGTCTGCTTTATCTAACTCCCAGTGAACTTCAGAGGTGCAAATAACAAGTAATAGATAAGAAGCCAAAAAGCTATGAAGACAACAGGAAAGGATACAAACAGCTGGAACAATATGATGAACAGTCCTGTCGGCGCTGACTCTTTCCTGAATGCACCCCGTTACACATGACAGCTGTATGCAGTGACACCTTTCAGTGAACAATAGTGTGTTTGTGTCCTGAACAGACGTGAACACGACTACATCGACTCGCCCGCATTGTCCTGCTGGCCCGAACAGCTACTAGAGCATCAAACGCAGCTTAATCCTCAGCTAAAAACAGAGCCCAAGCAAATGCACTGGATGTCATTAAACTGTTAACAGCTGGAAATTGATTTTTAAATAAATTAATGAAATATTAAACTGTTCTGAAAGATTTTTACCAAACATGGTCGAGAAGCTATGAAGTCTGAGACGAGGACAAAAGGCTAACTATAATGATCCCAGCGATACCCTTTCATCACTGCAGCTGAAAGTCCTTCACTCCTGCGTGGACAGACGTGAGGCTCTTCTAAGCAAAAGTCTTTCACTTATTGGATTTAAGTTCAAATCCCATGTTAGCTCTGCTTAAGCCAGCTGCATGTGTGAAGCTGCATGTGTCTTCTGAGCAGAGCCAGGAGGAGGAGAAAGCTCTGAAACGGAGTAGTGCAGTTAGAGCGGTCTGAAGCTGGCGTTTGCAGACCCCAGTGTGTGACTGTGTCCGTGCTCGGTGTGAGATCCACCATTAAAACGCAGCAGTTTCAGAGCAGCGTGTTCCTGCACGGTGCTGTAAACCAGCATTATTACCTGTTGTGTTTGTAAAGCACAGAGTCAGTTATTAACACAAAGCCAAAGCTGAACTTCGTGAGCCTCGGTTTCCTCATCCTGCACTCATATCATTCCACCTGCTGATGGAGCATATTAATTGAAAGTGGAGGATGGTGCACTGCTCCTGCTGTCTCCACTCTCTCCTTCGCTCTAATGAAAAGTTAATGAGTTTCAGTGAAATGAAGTCTCCGTGTGATACCATCGCAGCTATTAAAGCAGCCGCCGTAATCATTCATCAGCTCCAACAAAGTCATCATTACTAATTTACACTCTATTCATATCTGTGTCGTTTATCTTCCGCTCTAATCTACGTCTACTCCCGTACGGAGCTCCATCACTCTTTCACTCCTTCCATTATTGATGCACTTCCTCTTCCTCTCAGGCCTTTTCTTGTCTATTATGTTTCCTCTTTTTTGCCTACCTTCCTGACATTGTGTGTGTGTGTGTGTGTGTGTGTGTGTGTGTGTGTGTGTGTGTGTGTGTGTGTGTGTGTGTGTGTGTGTGTGTGCAGAACTACAAGGAGCTGGAGCTGCTCCGGCTGGTTTATTACGGTGGAGTGCAGCACGAAATCAGAAAGGAGGTGTGGCCTTTCCTTCTGGGACACTACAAGTTTGGCATGAGCAAAAAGGAGATGAGTAAGGTACAGTGCACGTGCACACACACACACACACACACACACACTCTTTGAATTTGCCCTGAAGTTAGTAAAACCCTGTGTGAAGATCGATGCAAAGATCGGCGAGCGGTACCAGCAGGTGATGCGGGAGTGGAAGGCCTGCGAGGTGATCGTCAAGCAGCGGGAGAAGGAGATGCAGTCGGCCATCTTTGCCAAGCTCTCCTCGGGCAGCAGCATCGACAGCCACGTCCTGCGGCTCGTCCACAGAGACTCCACGCTCAGCAATGAGGTGAAGGGCTCAGAGCAATATAGCATCCACTCAGTGATACACTTTATTAAGTTGGGGGGTGAGAGTTTATTAAACGTTATTAAAAATCTGAATATCCGCTGTATGAGGTGAGCTTCATACAAGCAATATCCAAAGTCTTTGTTGGGTTGTCTGGGTGAGCTTTATATTATCCTCAGAACTTCATTTGGTATCAGCAGCATGCAGACGCTGCACCGTGAGCTCTGTTATTATCTGTTATATTTTCATTTCAGCCTGTGTTGTTTTGCATTAAGACGTCAAACTAAAACCTCCACGGATGGAGCAATAAAACATGTTAGTGGCTGAATTATAGACAGTGCACATCTCAGTGTTTCTGCATAAGATGAAATCAGTAAAAAAGAGATTAAACTGGCACAAACAGACTGAAGTATGATTAATGTTCACCTGGACAGTGAGTGCTGTGATGCTGTTTTGATGGTTTCTGTAAAGCAGTGTGAAGTAACAAACAAGCAAAATAAGTTTCACTCTACAAAAGTAGGCTGCAGACGTCTCGCACAAGCTGTTAGTCAAATAACAGCAACAGTGTTTGACAGATGATCTGATAACAATGCTGCAAAACGCAGCAGCCGCACAAAGACGGCTGAAAGATCAGTCAGTGAGTCGATGTAGCAGAGGTGAGACAACGCAGCCGCGCCCCCACCTCAAAGAATCACATGCATAGTTAGGTTTATATGCATGCTCAGTCGTCCAGTCAGGAAATCCCAAAAGGCTGAATCTGCGTTGTCAGTGGGAGAAACCAGCCGACTGCAGGAACAGTGGGCTGTGATGTGATCATAGGTACTGTTCACAGAGAGTTGGGGAAGGGCTTCACTCACCTGACCTCGCAGCCCATCGTTCCCTCAGTGGTACTAGTTTCATTGTGCAAACGTCCTGTTTATGAGCGATGAAACGTTTCTCCCACTGAGAACGTCCAGGTGAACAGAACCAACCTTTTGGGATTTACGTAATCACACATTATATTGCATAAAGCACCTCGAGGCTTCTGTTGTTGTAATTTGGCACATCGTGCCTTCTGATTCCTCCGCCCCCTTTTCAGGTGTTCATGTCTGTAGATGAGCAGGATGCAGGAAGCCAGGAGACCCCCAGCGGAGAGGACAGCACTCCCACAATGACCAACCTGGTGCCCCCCGTGGCCCTCCCACAAGAAGAGCGTCCTCTGGTAGAATTCGATTCCCCCGACTCAGGGCTCCCCTCCTCTAGAAACTACTCTGTGACCTCTGCTCACTCCCAGATCCTGTCTAGTATCGATGACGGTCAGAGCACAGAGGAGGAGGGTGGGGGCGCGGAGGACGGCAGGACTCCCAGTGAGCTGGCGGGGTGCCGGGACTCTCTGACAGAAGACAGGCTGTGCAGTCAGCTGGACAAACTGGTGACCAGTGGAGCAGCTGCTGAGGGGACGTCACCATCGCTCTCTTCCTATACAGTACGTACAGTGTGTGCATACATTATGTCCGTTTATGGGGCTTGTTTTTTGCATTGATGCCACATGATCAGAACAAAGTGCTTGGAGAGTGACACCAACCTACAGTCTGTGTTTGATGGACACACTGTGCAGTAACACTGAGCAGATTCCACACAGCAGAAAACTATTTTTCATTTTGCAGATCGAGTTGTTGGACACGGTCGCCCTCAACCTCCACAGAATAGACAAAGATGTCCAGCGCTGCGATCGCAACTACTATTATTTCACCACGAGCAACCTGGAGAAACTCCGCAACATCATGTGCAGGTAGAGAAAGACCTGAAGACGGAAGAAGATCCTCCTGTTGTTTTATGACGATGATTCAAATCACTGAGTGAAAAAATGAAACTGCAATGTGAAGCTTTCCAGCAGAAAGACAAACCTGTTTTACTTGACGTGTCACGTGATGCTGGGTTTGAAATGACCAGAGTCAGGTAGTCGCATAAAACCAGAACAGGTTGGTTTCTTTTGCTGTAAACAAAATCAAATCCACTTCCTGTAAATAGTTTCAGTCAGCCTTCACTAACAGCTGCTACTGTTGAATATCAAAGAAATGCATCTGTATCGCTCCGTGGTTTCACTGGTGTGGCATCGCAGGCACTGGGTAAGGTCTCTGTTAGTAAGAAGTAGAGCTGGGCGATATGAGATTTTTTCATATCACGATATGTTTTTTTCATTTCAGGCGATAACGATATCTATCACGATATAAGCCAAATAACTATATTTGTAAGATTTAAATGTGCCGTTGCTCACAAGTAAAATGTGAAATAATCAGCAGCTTGTTTTTAAATATTTATTTCCCATAATAAGTTCAACAGGGTAGATGTACTTAAGGAACATGAGACTTTTTCAGATAAATAAAGGCAAATATTGCAAACTACACAAAAGGCAGCCGCTAAAGCGTTTAAGTTTCAAAATAGAACAAACAAAACAGACTAAATTGTCAATTTCACTTAGAAACAAAATATTAATTCTAAAAATAAATCTTAGTTTGTTTTACAGAAGAACAGACAAAACTGACTAACTTTTGTCAATATCAAATAAACTGAGAACTAAAAGGAAATTCTCAATCTCTCCTTGTTGTATAGCTGAGCTTTTCAAACAGTTTTAACAGTTACTTTAGTCTGACAAAAGCCGAATGATGAATTAGCGCTTCCAGTCAGAGACTGAGGCTACGTCCACACGTACACGGGTATTTTTGAAAACGGAGATTTTCCGTTTTCCTTTTAAAAAATAATCCCGTCCACACATAAAGGCAGAAATGAAGGAAAACGCTGCTATGAACATGCCAAAGCAGCAGGTGGCGCTAGATTCCTAACCGTGCAGAAATGTTGGCCAATCAGAAGTCTAGAAGCCTCGGTGGGAAAAAGTAAACAAAGCTGGGGCATAGAAGCAGAACCGAGTCGTATGTGTGGAGGGACAGTAACTGTGTGTATATGTAAGCATTTAAACACTGCAGAGAGTAGAATTAACAGTATTGTAGAAATTCATTTCACCGAAACAATAACGTGGCGCACAGTGTGACGCATGCACCAGTTTATTGTATTTCCAGACTTGCTTTCGGCACATTTACAGTGCAGCTACTCTGTTTTTTGTCAGACTTGAAATAGCCGAAATACCTTCAAACTACGGAACTTCTATGGCTCTTCCGTTCGACAATCTCTCCGGCGTTGGAACCATCATCTGTTTTCTCTTCGGTCACGCTCGGTTGATTTTTCTAGTCGGCACACTCATTTCCTCCATTACCCGCTGGCTACTTCCCAAACAAACACACGTGCGGCTTGGCACTTGTGCTGTACGTAACAAGTCACGCGACGTGACGCTGCGGCTGTGATTGGTTCGGCTCTGCGCTACTTAATTTGAATTGGCTGACCTTTTTTTTTTTTTTTTTTTTCTTTGAGGACAAGAGCGGCGAGGTCTATCGCGATAGCTTAATTTCTCTATCGAGTAAAAGTTATATCGCGATACATATCGTTATCGTTCTATCGCCCAGCTCTAGTAAGAAGGCTGTAAAACTGATCCAGGGTCAGGTGCGATGAAGGGTTCTCATAAACACATCTGTTCTTGCTTCCTGGTGAAGCGATGCTCTGCCTGTCCGCAGCTTTCACACGTCCCAGTGACAGACAGCTCAGTACTAACCCGTGTTTGATACCCAAGTCTGCTTTATGGACCTCAGTGCTAAATGGCATCATGCAGCCAGGGCTATGTAAGACAGGCCTTTAAGGTGGAATTAATTAAGCCGTTATTTAAAAAGCCATCAATTATAGACCTCAAAAATTCTTGTGAGTAGTTGTAAAACAGCTGATCATCTGCAGAGGAGCTGCTTATTTGTCAGACTGGGTAGGAAGATAGTAAAGCAGTGAGCTGACTGCAGATCTGCAGAGCTGTAGATCTGAGACGTAATCTGAGGGTTTGGCTACTCTCTTCACTTTTTGCTGAATACTGTATGTACAGGAGTATTAGATGATGATTAGATGATTACTAGGGCTGCAACGATGCACAAAATTCACGGTTCGATATTTTTTCGATACAAAAAAAATGTTCATGCCTTTTTAATTTGTCATTTATTAAAATTATAAATATATATTTTAACTCAAAAGTACAGCTTTTAAATTTAATGTTGCTGAAACAACAAAGTAATAAAATAATAAATCTATCTGATGGAGGAATCACTCATCTTTGGAAAAGAGAGTTTATTACAGAGAAATGGCTCTTTCATAATAAAAGCTCTACTATCCGCTTCTTCTGGGCTATATTCTCAGCAGCATATTAAACATATCAGGTCCCCATAAGGAGAATCCTGTGCTAACGGCTGTCTAAATCACTCGGGTAAAGTTAGTAGCATGCTGCTTGTTGTTTTTGTCTGCTTCCACTTGTCTTTGCACTAGGATGATGTCGGTGTAAATGTGCAGTCATATTCGTTGTGTTCCCACTAGTGCTTTCAGGTTAATCTCGTTGAAATGACCTTAACGCCACAACACGGCAAATCTCCGTTAACGAGCTACCGCCGATCGCCCCGTGCATGGGGCTGGACGGCCAACACATTAACGAGCTAACTGCGCTAACACACTAGCTCCCACCCATGTAATTGAGCATTGCGTGGCACATCCGACATACTGTTTTACTTTAGTCCATGACTCGCTTACCTTCAGGGTCATACGTCACATGAAAACCAAAATAGTTCCAAACGCCAGATCTGAATGAGGGTGGGGGAGGTTCAATTTGCCATGTTGCAAGGTGAGCCTAACTTCTGTCTCGCTAGCTTGCCCTGCGCTCAGTGACTCTGCAATCGACTGCTCCGCCTAGGCTGCACTGTCGAGCGCAGATCCACTGAGCGCTCAACACAGACAGCATCGTCAGAAGGAAAGTTGATAAAATAAATTAAAACTGTTGTATTGTTCGATACATATGCGTACCGAACCGAAAGCACTGTATCGTTGCACCCCTAATGATTACTTGTGCAGTGATGAGTAGGTGCAGAAGGTGGAGGCGAGTATTTTACAGAGTGAGAAGAAGCAGGTTTTATCTCCAGCCTGTTTGTGTTATTTCCAGTTTCTAGCGTTTTATTTGTGGAGAACGAATCACCAACATTCACAACAGCTACCGATGTGTGTGCTCTCTCTTTAGTCTGTCTCTCTTTGCCTCTCTCTTCCTGGCAGCTATGTGTGGGAGCATTTAGAGATGGGCTACGTTCAGGGCATGTGTGACCTCCTCGCTCCGCTCATGGTCATCCTGGATGATGGTGAGAGAAATGAACTGAATTACTGTGAGCTCACAGATCAAAGCCCTGCCTAACAATGAGAAGCTAAAAAGCATTTGTCCGTTTAGCCAGTAAACACATGTGCAGCAGCAGCAGAACGCTTGCTTTCATTTCTGTGACAGTATTTATTCCAGAACAAATATTCAATAAATGATCATTAACTGTGTGTGTGTCAGAGTGCCTGGCGTACAGCTGTTTCACTCAGCTGATGAAGAGGATGAGTCAGAACTTCCCTAATGGTGGAGCCATGGACTCGCACTTTGCCAACATGAGGTCACTGATCCAGGTGATGGATGATATTCATAGAGTGAGTATCAGAGAGCGAGAGACGCTCCAGCTAACAGCTGCTGCTGTTCTGTGTGATGGCAGATCCTGGACTCGGAGCTGTTCGAGCTGATGCAGCAGAACGGCGATTACACTCACTTCTACTTCTGTTACCGGTGGTTCCTGTTGGACTTCAAGAGAGGTGAACACGCCATCCTCCTCTCACGTGACGTTTCTGTTTTCCGAGCGCAGACAAAGTGTGCATGTTGAGAAGCGCTCTTTAGAAATGCAGATTACGGGAATGTGCTGTGTGCAGAGCTGCTGTACGACGACGTGTTTGCGGTGTGGGAGGTGATCTGGGTGGCTCCCAGGATTTCCTCGCAGCACTTTGTCCTCTTCCTGGCCTTGGCGCTGGTCACAGTTTACCGTGAGATCATCGTGGACAACAACATGGACTTCACCGACATCATTAAATTCTTTAATGGTAGGACGCACATTCATACCAGTGCTCTGAGGTCTGAACAGTGAGTAGAAAGCTTCAGTGTCAGTGGGTCCGCATGTAGAATCTGCAGCGTGGCCGTTAGCGCTGCCATGTTCTCCCTGTACCTGTGTGGGTTTCTTAGATAATCTGGCTTCCTCACAAACACACACATAGTTCAAACTCATTTCAGGGCTCATCAGTTAGCTGCTGAAATCTACAAACTGTGCTGTATTTCCATATTGGTAGCGGTCTCTCTAACAGCCTGTCTGATCCACAGAAATGGCTGAGCGGCACGATGTCCAGCATATCCTGAAGGTAGCACGTGAGCTGGTGCACAAAGTCCAGTCTCTGATGGACAACAAGTAACTGTGATGAAGAAGGCAGAAAGAGGAATGGGAGGATGCGGAGGGAGAGTGTCTGACCCTGCTGGAAACTAGAGCACTTCCTGCCTCCACTTACCCAGGCCACAGCCGGGTGGTCGAGGCGTCCCTTTTCTCCAGGTGAAGGCCCCGGGGCGGCTGTTGGAGCTCGGCCCGATCTGTTTACATTGCCCTTCACGTGGAATGCCCATGGTACCTGTTCGGACATGTGGATTTGTCTGCATGCTTGTGAGTTTGATCACACTGTGAACGCATTCTTGAGTTTCCCCAGTCCGACAGAGTTTGCGTGCGTGCATGAAACACACACACACACACACACACACACACTGTCACAACTCGGTTTTCTAAAGTCGCACTCTTTTCCTCGACTCTGAGACAGAACATGTTGGATGGCTGTCAGGAAAGTTGAGGCTCTCAGTGTTTGTGTTTGTCCATGCAGTGCCATCTGTGGCCACTAGAGTGCAGGATGTACACACAGCAGAAGACTTAGCCACGAAGACGTTTTCATTAGTGACCAAATGGACTGTGCCAACGACCTTTTCATGAGTGTTTTCTACAAGCATTTGTGTTTTTACCCCCTCTTTTCTTTTTGTCCACAAAGTCATTATGACACAAATGTTGCCTTTTTCAGTAACAGCCCAAGGTACTTACTTGCACTTTGTTGTGAGCGGGTCCTTCGCGGTCCCTGTGAAGGCCACGCCACAGTCTGTGGGGGCCGGAGGAGCCTGCGAGAGGCCAGACCATTTAGGAACTCAGGATGAATTGCAGCCAGCTTTTCTGAACATGTCGGTCAGTGTTTGAAGCATGTTTACTCCCAGAGCACAACAGGAAACGCAAGCACACGAGCCTTCCTCCTTATCCTCGCAATTTTAAAAGGGCCACAGCTACGTTTGAGAGCTGCACCTCAACTTATCTCGATCAGTTTCACCTTGAGTTTAAATAGTTTTTAGCTCTTTTTGTGGCTGCTCATCAATTTCAGAGAGCCAAAGGTTTCCAGCACAACGTCACCTACATCCAAGGTGAGCAGGAGAAAGGTGGTGAAGAATCCAGCGACACTTGAAACACTAGGAAACGACTTTACGTGTCGGGGTCATTACAAAATACCAAACATGCTATTTCTGGCTTCGCTGAGCCTACAAAGACTGACTGAGTTTTCAAAAGCAGACTAAGAAGACAAACTGATCTAATTAGGATTAGTTGAATTACAATTTAAAAACTGATTTATCTAGCAGTGTTTGGATATTTTTATGAAAAGGATGAAAATCACTTCCTTGAAGGAAACCTCAAACAGCTGGCTGTAGTTTAGCAGACGTCACAATAAGATCATAGACTCGAGTTAGTGTTGTAGTGCTGTTTGTTCATAACTTACAGCTTTTTCCAGCTGTTTAAAAACAGTATTTAACAGTTAGTCACAAACATGTACCTTTCTTGGTTCCCCGTCCCCGAGACTTAAAAGGAAGTTCTTGTCTGATTGTTGGGATCTCTCGCTAATCTCAAAGGGTCTTTGCCTTGCTATTAAATCACACTGAGACAACAAGTAGTTGAGCTAATTTTGTGATATACTTCCTGGAGTATAATTATTTCAGATAATCTTTGATTAACATTTAAATTTGTATGATCCTTAACTATCACACAACAGAGCTGAACTATAGTGTGAAAGCTCCAATAACCAGCTACAAGTAAATCCATTTAACTTCATAGAAAACGTCCGTTTCAGATCGATCTGTGTTGAAATGTTGACATTTGGTGAAGCTGCAGGAAATAGAAGCACACATTATTAGGCATTCCCTGGGAAAAAACAAACCAGATGGAGTATATGGGATAGAACGCGAGACACGAGGATGCAGGATGTGGTCAGTGCTTGTTTGACTTTTCGCAGCAAAGAATATTCTCGGGAAACATAGACCATCCTTTCAGTAATTTCCTTTGAAACATGCACGCTGACCTGAAGGCACCACGAAGACTGTTCAACTGTCCAGAGAAGTGGTTGCAATTGTCCCTGTGAAGCCGAAGTCCAGCCTCTGAGACTCGGACTGGGTTTGTCTTTACAGTCCCAGGTTTAGAGAAAAAACAACAGAAATCTGAAAGAAGCTGCTTTTAATGCCATCACTAGTGTTCAGTGGATCAGTATTACAGTGTGTTGGTGTTGGCTTCAGAGTAACAGCACATTCACGTTTGTATCTGAAGGGAGTCGGATGCTTTTTTGACACCCTCCCTGCTCTCCCTTCTTCTCAGTGTGACCCTTTATCGCTCCTTAAACCGTCCATCGTGACCGCGTACGATCGGTCGTCCGACACGGACCTGCACCTGTGATTCAAGTGCCAAGAGTCTTCCCCGATCCTAACGTGTACTGTAGTCATCCTGCTCTCCGATTGCTAGTTTGATCCCAGGAACAGGCCGTGGCATTGGATGGACCTCGCTACGGCCCCTCCTCCCCGCCGCCGCGGAGGCTCGGAGGAGGAATCGGGTCCGTGCTTTTTCTTCCGATCAGGACGTTGTGTACCAAAGCCTTGAAACAGCCCCCTCTGTGGCATGACGACAACGTGCAATTTCATACTGCATCTTGAAGACTGACTGTTTACTATTTGTGTAAAATATTTTTGGAAATGGTGTTCTTGAATTCTTTCACTACTGTGCAATTTCTGTCATTTGAGAAACCCATCAAAGTCTATACTGCTGTACATATGAACCAAAAGCCCAATATTTCTATGAAGACAGACACAACATATATACAAATACACATATAACTTATTTTGAGATCTATTTTTATGTTGGTTTTAGCAGCACTAGCCAGAGGTGTGTACTGTGCAGAAATGCAGAATGTGTGCAGACCATGTTACAGATTGACTGTTAAGTGTTCTCTCTTAATGTTGTGCACTGACTTTGAGATTTCAAATTTCTATTTATGTAGGGAGCCAACGATTGCATTGCTGAATATGTATTGGTAAGGGTGTATCATTTGCCTTGAATGTAATGTATTATTAAATAAGAAGTTGTTCATGACCCGCCTACTCTCCTTCCTTTATGCTTTTCTTGCTAACGTGTGGACACTTTTAATAACGTCTACACTGCCTTAAGGTTAAAAACACCTTTTGCTCTGCAAAAAATACACCGTGACCGCCTCACCACGAGGGGGCAGCATTTTATTCTCGTTTCCCATCCTTGAAAAGAAATAAAGTGGGCTGCCATCCAGCAGTTAAGTTTTCTAGTAGCTTTAATAGTTCAGAGAGTCAAACACAATAAATGTATTTTGTCAGGAACACAAAACATTAGCTGTTGGTAAGATTACACGATGAAGCTGATATATTTAACTGGATTGCAAACAAAGGCTCTGTGTGTAAAAGTTACTCACTAGCTGTCAGGAGATTGCAGTCAACCTGTTTTCTCACCCCTCCAAACTCGAGCGCATAATCCTAGCTACGGTGGCCACTGTAGGACAAAACAATTCTGGCTGCTGTTCATCTGTAACGGACGCAGGTTGAGCTCCTGTTGAGCTCAACTATCAAGATCATTATGGCTGTATCCCAATTCAGGGTCTGCAGCCTTAAAGGCCGCATTTTAAGGCCGATTGACACGACGAAGGCTGTCCCAATTTGAAGGCTGCTCAAAATGCGGCCTTCAAATGTGTCCTTCATTTCCCTGAATTTTAAGGATGTGGCGGTGTAGACTTCGTGACCCAACATATCCCAGAATGCATAGCGCGGCGGTGGGTGTGGATAATTTTGCCGAAAAAAACGGTGAAAGCGGAGCGGCCGAAGAGTAAACTTTTAAAAGTAAGTACTGAATATTATTATCAGATTCATCAGAGGGAAAACATGATTTTAAGAATCAGAAAGAGTTTTATTGCCAAATGTTGAGCAGGTTTACAACATTAGGAAAATGCTGCGGTACTTAGTGCAAACATACTGTCAGACTGTAAATAAACATAAAAATAAGAATTAGATATATAGTAGATAGATATATAGATATATACATGAGTGCAGGTGGTGATCAGTGCAAACATGGAATGATGCAGTGAACACAGCGTAGGGTCATGTGTTAGTGGTGGGAACAGTCATACGGTTATTGTTCATGAGTCCAACAGCAGAGGGGAAGAAACTGTTCTTATGGCGAGAGGTTCTGGTGCGAATGGACCGGAGCCTCCTGCCTGAGGGGAGCAGGTCAAACAGACTGTGTCCAGGGTGAGAAGGGTCAGCTGAGATCCGAGCTGCACGCCGCAGTGTCCTGGAGGTGTACAGGTCCTGCAGAGATGGGAGTCTGCAGCCAATCACCTTCTCAGCAGCAGTGGCAGTCCTAGCCTGTTTGGCGCCCTGAGCGAACACACCTTCTTAATATTAAAATCTGTAACATAATGTATTGTTTGGAGTTTAGTCTGTTACTGTTGCTATTTTTACCATTTCTTCTTGGAGCAACTGTAACTCACATAATTTCCTTAGAGATTAATAAAGTTTTCTGATTCTGATAGTTTCAGGATGAGCTGCCATTATCCAATCACACATCTGCTTACCTGCATCTTTTGCTCGTTTCTGCTTGTTTTTTCTCTTTTTTTCTAAACTGAGCACCTGATGGCTTTGAACTTTTCTTGTCCATCTTCCACTGGTTTGAATTTTGCACTCCAGTATGAACAATCATCCCCCAACCCGAGGATCACCACAACATGATCTAACACACCTACACCTTAGTTCAAGATTCACTTTGTCTAAGGTGCATTTCTGGGATTTCACACAACCCAGGATTCAAATCATGAATCCATAATGGGCTTGGATTTACAACATTATGAATGAAATGTGCTCTATCTGGAAGCAGCTGGCCCCTCCCCTTTCGACGGGTTGTGTGTGAGACTTTAAATCATCAAATTATAAATTTTAAATTGTTATTGATCCTTTACCCCTGGTCCTAAAGTGTAGATTTATTTTCTTACTCTTCTTATATTTGTTTTTTGTTTACTTGCACTGCTGTAGCTGGAGCCTCGTCGTCTCGTCTCTCTATATGCTGGGCTGTAAGTAGCGGAGATGACAATAAAGTTTACTTTGACTTCAGCAGCGCGCAGGCGCACTGAGGGCTCTCGCGCTCACTTTTCACGTACAGAATTTCGAAAAAACATCGGTGCAAATTATAAGTCTGTATCATGATGCCTGGTGTTTTCGTGTTTGTTGGTTTTTTTTAAATTGTTTTATTTTGCGGGTTGGTTATTAGACGCTGCTCCAGCCAGCCAGAGAATCCCCCGCCCCCGCCTCCCTGAGCAGCAGGCGCACCTCGCAAACGGAGGGCGCCCTTACTCCCAGCAAATGGGCGATAGAAAACCGATCGGTGCCTGTGACATTCCCGATATGCGCTGGCTGACGTCGGGGCAGCACGAGTACGAGCAATTTTTATTTTTTATTTTTTTTGCCGATGCCCGTGAATCCGCCCCGGGCAACCGCCCGTGTCAAAAACTGCTACTGCTCAGCAGAGCGCAGTGGCGTGTCTAGAAAATTTTTGTTGGGGGGGCCAGGTAGGGGCACAGATTTGGAGAAGGGTGGCAGATGTAATTGGCAGATAATGTTTAAAAAAAAAATTCTACCAACCCTTAACCATAATTCAATAATCCTATAAACCTAATAACCGAATGCGCTTTTAACTCTTATTAGAATGAGATTTTAACCACTACGGTGCAAAGTTTTTAGATACTGCGTTGATAAAGTACAAGAGATACAATCAGTGCTTTGTCAGTGTTTACTCAGCATTCAAGGACATCAATATTTGCATAGTATTTTTACTGACATATAGTGCACATATGTTTTGGGCAAAAACATTTTTGAATATTAAAATACGAACATTTGTAACATACAATTGGCAAATTAGCCAATGCCAATGCAAAACTTTATCTGCCTGTTAAAAAAAGAAGATAATCTTCTCACAAAGTGGTGTTTGATTTTGAAACAGGAAAAAAGTGGGGAAACAAATGAAAAGACTAACATTTGAATAAAACCTGAAAGCAAGTAAATACTTTCTCTGCTGCCTTATGGTAAACTTTGGTAATATTGATAAAGAACAACACTGGCTGATGATAAAATACAGTCAGCTGGCATGGTGACACTGCCAGTATAACCTGCAGGGCTGGACTGGGACAGAAAATCGGGCATTTTGACTACAGACCGACCCAGCAGGTATTAAAGCCATAAAGCCTTTGAATGAAAACAAATGCTGTTGTGACAGTCCCATATGGAAAAGAAATAGTAAAAACTTATATGACTTAACTCATGAAAGTGGCCACTTTCATGAGTAAATCATATAAGGCTTACATGATTTACTCATGAAAGTGGCCACTTTCTCATTACTTTCATATATTGTTTTAGTAAGTATCCAAAACATACAAGTTTCATTATATAATTTTTCAAGGGATCTTATATCTGCTTTTACTCTTGTATGCTTTTCATACAAGTTTCACACAAGACAGATACAAACTTTATAAGATTTATATATATCTTTTCCATATGTACACTGTCTTGTTGGTATATGTATGATTTCTATACATTTTACGTCAGATAAAAACTTTGGTTGTAAGATTTAGATAATTATTTAATAAAAGTGAGACATTTTAAATGAGAATAAGAAAGAAAAGTATTTCTTTGTGCCCCCCTCCCTGTTAATGCCCTACCTGCCCCCCTGGCAACACTTTGCTAGACCCGCCCCTGCACAGTTACCAGCTGTCAGCTACATAAAAAAGGATCCTGGTGTTATTTGTCTCTCAGAAACAGTTCATAACTTCCCTTCAGCTCATTCATGTTAACTAAAAGGTAAACCTGTTTCTCCATCACAGCTCTGATGATTCAGTAAGGACATCTCCTGGTTTCATCTTCATGTTTCCCTCTCACCACATAACCAAACCATCCTGACCAGCAGCTTTCCAGCTGTGGTTCCAGCAAACATCAGCTGATACTAGAAATTAATATTAAATAAATTCTAACAACAGCTGATCAAGCTTAAACGTGCTGCTGTTGTTTAGCGCGACATCCGCTGGTTTCCTGTTTCTGGCACAAAGTGGGCGATAAACAAACAAGAGAGAAAAGCCGATCAGCTGATCATTGATCAGTTTCATGATTGAAGTAGAAACAGGAGAGGGAGGGGAGAGAATGAGAGAAGAAGAGGCAGCTGTGCAGCGTAACGACAGAATAACTCCAGCTTTGTGTCTTTTTTCCATCCTAGCTAAAGTCCGGGACAAACTGCGTCTCTTCTCAGCTCAACACCAAACGTGTAATATTTTCTCTGAATGAGGGACCATTCCATTTTTTAAGGAGCCGTTGGAAACTCTACTAACCTTATGAATAAAATAAAGTTCACTATCAGTAACATCATAGCAGAGGTGTGGACTCGAGTCACATGACTTGGACTGGAGTCAGACTCGAGTCATTAATTTTATGACTTTAGACTTGACTTGAAAAAATGTTCTAAGACTTGTGACTTGACTTGGACTTTTACACCAATGACCTGGGACTTGAATTGGACTTGAACCGGTTTACTTGAAAAGACTTGATATTTCACCCCAAATATAAAATTTAACATGCATATTATATAGAGATTGAAAATGTGACGTCATTCACGGGTAGAACCGCAAAGGATTCTGGGAACTCGTGGCAAGAGGTACTAGCGCACGCAGGCTTTCAATTAAAATCAGTCACACAGCGATAAAAAGAAACACAAAAATGTCAAGAAGCTGTTGTATCATTAACTGCAATAGCCGGTCGCATGACAGCCACGGGAAGCCGACGGGTAAAGAGATCGGTTGTTATCGGATTACGTCGTTGAAGAGAAATTGTTCGAGCCATGTTTCCGAAGTAACAAAGAGGCGACTGGATTGCAGCCATTCAAAGACCAAATATAACGTCCCAGAACACTCCAGCTCACAGGTTACTCTGCTCCAAGCATTTACACAAAGGTCAGTCTGCTGTTGTAGTTAATACGTCATTTTCACAACATAACTGGTGATATAGGTTACAAGCAAGTCTGGCGCTGAACAGAAATTGTTGCGCTATGCTCCTTTGTTTATTGTGCATAAATAGTGAATTGTCCTGACACAATATTGTGTTTCGCCTCTGTTATTATGGTACATTGACAAAAACTATACTTTTATTCACAGGATAAAACAGGTTTTTTGTATCACTAATTGCCCAGTACGATTACAGCATACAATATTATTGTCACTGCTACATTTCTGTGATGGTACCAGAAATTATTTCCACTACTAATTAATTACCGTTGAGCTCAAAGGTCCTATTAATAAACGGTTAACGAATGTGTATTTATGAAGACGATTTGTGAGACTGGTAAACTTATGATACGTACGATGGTCTTTCGTTCTACACGGTGCATTTCAAGGTCCTGCACCCATCCGTCGGTAAACTGTACCTGGGCTTGTTGCAGTGACCTGAAGTTACTAAACTTCATGAGTGTGTGCACTCACTCCAAGAACCATATAATTATAAATATGCATATAAATATGCTACAATGAGATAGCTGACTTCATCTAACTAGCAAATGTTGTCCAGGCTACGTTGGTGATACAGTTTTTTTAATATGTATGATATTTTTGTCATGCGATTTTAAAGCTGGTCCTACAACCGCATCCAAGAATAACATGCAGCTTATCTCAGAACTGTCGGTGAAAATTATTCTTGGAGCTAGGTTTAATTGAGCTGCATTTTAAAGAGGTGCAATTTCACAATTTGTGTATATTTTCTAAGTTCACTATTTTGTCATGTGTTGAGAAAAACACAGATTTTAAAATTACATGGTCTAATATTTACATTTAGCATAACTGCAACATGCTTTTTTCTTTTTTTTTTTTAAAGACTCGAAAGGACTTGAAATTCAAAATTTCAGACTTGTGACTTGACTCGGACTTTTACACCAGTGACTTGAGACTCGACTCTGACTTGCCTGACATTACTTGAGACTTGACTTGAGGATAAAGACTTGAGACTTACTTGAGACTTGCAAAACAATGACTTGGTCCCACCTCTGCATCATAGCACCACCCAGCTGTATAAAAACTCCGTCAAGCTGGCTAGAACGCAGTACGAGTTATTGCAACTGACAGTAAAAAGTCAGCACAACTAAAATAAACTCCACCTAAACTTAGTTTATATCTGACCCAGATAGACTGCAGGTCATAACTTCTTACCTGAAGTTCAGTTCACCTGACACTCGGACCGGCGGCTGCCTCGGGTCTTTCCTCCTGCCTCCCCTTCCCTCATACACCTGCTGGCCTCTGTGGAAGCCCCGCCATAGCCACCACCAAACAACCGAGTTATTTTTACACATCGGCCTGCATCTGCCGATCCACCACCTCTCATTGTTCATGCCATTACAAAAAAGTCACCGGGCATATGCCCGGTATGCCCGATGGCCAGTCCAGCTATGTTAACCTGCAACCAAATCTGCAGCTCCATACAGCAACGTTATGACTTAGATTATATCTTATAACTCATAACTCTTATGTTAGCTGCCCTCAGTAGCATACTGTCTGAAATATTCGATGGCTGCAATAATTCTTTAAGTGTTATTTTTTCCTTGGTATTCTAATTTCACCGAAGTTTACTAAACTCAACAAACTTGATATTACTTACCGGGACATTTATTCTGTCCTCATTTTCTTTCACCGAAAAATTGTTTCCTGCGGTGCCGTCTTTCGTGCTTGGCTCTCCTACATTTGCTAAAGTGATGCGCATAGCGCAGAAGCGATGCTGCATTCAGTTACACTCTGATATCTGAGCTTCACCGTGAAAACATAATCGGACATTTGATATTTGATTGAATTTTATTGTTTTGCCTTTGGGGTGGCACCTGGGGTGGCCAGTCTGGTTGGGGGGGTGGCCTGTGCCCCCCCAGGCCACCCCGCTGAGCGCACAACACGCTGCAGTCTCTGTTTGTCCCTGATAGTGGCTCCAGCGTACCACACGGTGATGGAGGAGGTGAGGATGGACTCGATGATTGCAGTGTAGAACTGCATCATCGTCCGTGTTGGCAGGTTGAATTTCTTCAGCTGCCTCAGGAAGTACATCCTCTGCTGGGCTTTCTTGATGACGGAGGTGATGGTGGGCTCCCACTTCAGGTCCTGGGTGATGGTGGTACCCAGGAAGCGGAATGAGTCCACAGAGGTGATGGGGGTGTCAGTCAGGATGATGGGGGGGGAGTGGAGCTGTGTGCTTCCTGAAGTCCACAATAATCTCCACTGTCTTCTGGGCATTCAGCACCAGGTTGTTGTGGCTGCACCAGGACACCAGATGTCAGGAAGTCAGTGATCCACCGGCAGATGGGATCAGGCACATTCATCTGGGAAAGCTTGCCTCGGAGATGGTCTGGAAGGATGGTGTTGAAGGCAGAGCTGAAGTCCACAAACAGGATCCTGGCGTAGGTTCCTGGGGAGTCCAGATGCTGCAGGATGAAGTGTAGGGCCATGTTGATGGCGTCCTCTACAGACCTGTTGGCTCTATATGCAAACTGCAGGGGGTCCAGGAGGGGGGCCGTGAGGGTCCTGAGATGGGAGAGAACTAGGCGCTCAAATGACTTCATGACCACAGATGTCAGAGCCACGGGTCTGTAGTCATTTAGTCCAGTGATCCTAGGTTTCTTGGGGACAGGGATTATGGTAGAGGACTTGAAGCAGGCAGGCACATGGCATGCCTGCAGTGAGGAGTTGAAGATGCCAGAAAACACTGGGCCCAGCTCGTTTGCACAGTGTCTGAGGGTGGCAGGAGACACGCTGTCTGGGCCGGGAGCTTTCCGAGCATTCAGATTCTTAAACTGCTTCCTCACATCTGCTTCATGAATATGAAGAGTTGTGGTGGGAGGTGGTGTGAAATCCTCTTTTGTGTGGGTTTGGAGGGGGGTGTTGTAGGTGAACAGTTTGAAGGTGGTGATGGCTCTATGGAGGGGGGAGAGGTGGGGGAATGAGTGTCCAAAGTGTCTCTATTGTTGGGGCCGTTGGAGGTGTGAAGGCTGCCTGATGGCTCGTCAAAACGGCAGTAAAAGTCGTTAAGGGTGTTGGCCAAGAGCAAGTCGTCAGTGGAGTGGGGGGTTTTAGGCTTGTAGTTTGTAATATTCCTAAAACCTTTCCACACAGAGGCCGAGTCGTTCTCTGAGATCTGCTGCTGCATCTTCTCAGAGTGCTGATGTTTAGCAATGTCCACTTCTTTAGTGAACCTGTACTTGGCCTCTCTGTCCCTGTCTCCGCCTTTCTCTTTTCAGCCACAGCTTTTTGAGTTTAGGAGTAAGCCACCTGTTGTTTAGTGTCAGAGCTGCTGGCAATAACTGCGATAACATCAGGAAAAAATGAGGATGTTTATACACACGTGTTAGAGAAGACGGTGAGAAAGAAATGAAAGTATTGGTCACATGCGGTTTGACTCTTTCAAAGTAAAATTACTTTACAAGGTTCACTATGTATGTCGCCAATCTCTGGCCACATACATAAAACGCGTTTGGGTGGACGCGACCCATTTTGGCACCAGCAGCTTCCACATTTTTTCTATCAAACCCCCCAATATTTCTGTACCTTCAACAGCTTTTATTTAGGAGAAAGGGTTATCTGTCGGTGATCCCAACACTGAGTCAAATACTTTAAAAGCACTCTTTGACACACTTGTACTTTTTTTTAAACAAGCAATGATATTTTAATTTGAAAGCTTTACTCATTTCAGATACAACATCTGCTCCAGCTCAAATGATGTGGTAATAAAGGCGCGGTGTGCAACAGTAACAAGTATTTTACAAAAAAAGCTCAAGTATTACTCGTATGTTACCCAGTAAGGCCATGAACGTGATGTGCTGCACTGCACATCCAGAACTTACCGTTTAGTTTTTTTTTAATTAAAGATGGTCAAATGCTTTGATTGCATCTCTTTTTCTTGCATTTCTACATAATGTATACTTTATTAACCCCCACAGGGAAATTCCTCTCTGCATTTAACCCATTCCCTCAGTGAAGCAGTGGGCAGCCACCAACCCAGCACCCAGGGGGCAGTGTGTTGGGACAGTAACTTGCTCAGGGGGTACTGTTCAGTGGATTTGAACCCCCGACCATCCAATCATGGGGCACCACTCTACCTACTGAGCTATCCCTGCCCTTTATTCATTTTTTAAATAATGGTGCACCACTGCAACTATGACGAGACCCAAACGTGCCTTAAAGCCTCTAACAAAAAACCAAGTTTGCTCCACTCTTATTTTTCTTGGATCAAAATATTAGGGGCAAGTTAATATTTTTCAGTACAACTCTTGTAAAAGTACTACTTTTGTTGTCATTAAACTGATTTAATTACAGCAGCACATGGTGCACAGGTGGGCCTAACAGAGTAGTCAAATCTCCTCAGATTATTTCACACAATCAGGTCAGAAAACAATAATATGGTTATGCTTATTTTAGTTATGAGCGCTTGTTTGAAGAAAAATAAAAAGGGAAGAGGATCGAAGCTCAGAGCTGAAGTAGAGCGGGTCGCCTAGCGAGCAGAAGGCCAGCTGATCGAGCTGCGTTTCCCCGATGCATCCATGCAGGTGTGGGTGGATGAGGCTCCGAGTGTTCAGAGTATAAAAGCAGCATGAAAGTACCAGACTGATGTTCATAGCAGCACTGAGCTTGTTTGGTTGTTTCATTAAACTGTGATGATCACGGGGTATTTGTAAGCACATCTTCCCGTATTCGGATCATTATACACAAGAAACAGACAAGGTTTGTTTAAAAAAAAGCATCTTTTATCACGGTTGATACGTCAAACTGATCAGTACCCATGACATTGCACAATACAACGGCATGAAAAACAATAAAAAAAGGAAATCATCATCAAAATAGGTATTGCATCTTCCAAAAGCTAATTTTCCCCATTCATAAATACTTTTCCTCTAAAAGGCCAGAAATGATTTCTACAAGCTGATGAGCATGACGCGACATGAGACGACGACCAGCAGACATTCAGTGGCGCTGACATCCATGTTTTTGTACAGTACAATGCTGAAGGCCGAGACTTCTGATGACAAGGAGTGGTCGCAGCCCACCTGTGTGTGTGTGTGTATATTTATATATTGGGGGGGCGTGTCCCAGCTGTGGTCATGTGACACTTGAGATGTGCCAAAGCTGAACAGGGCTGTGACATGACTGAGACGATATCGGCGATGCGCTGTTCCTTTGCAGCGAGTCCTGTACCAGAACAAGAGCACACACGTTACTGGTGGGCAAAGCTCACGTTAGCAGGTTTGCTGGAATTATATCGAGAACCAGGCCCGCCTGAGCCTGGTTCTGCCGGAGGGTTCTTCCTGTTAAAAGGCAGTTTTTCCTTCCCACTGTCACTTGCTCATAGGGGGTCAGCTGATTGTAGGGTCTACCTTACAATATAAAACAACTGTTGTTGTGATTTCATGCTGTTTCCAAACATATGCGCTTCATAAGCTTGACACTGTATCTAAACATCAGTGTGGAGCGTCCCATCTCTAACTGGTTTGTGTGGTTTCCATGAGCTCACACAGGGAACAGGTTCAAGTGAAAAAACAAGATAATATCACAACATCAGTCAAATTAAACGATAACTTTATTCTGTGTAGTGCATTGAGGCGGTGAGACTCTGTAAGCGAACCAAAAACAAGACTTTCAGTTGTTTCTATTCTTATTGATAATTATTGGATTGCTGCAACACTAATTAAAGCAGATTTCTGCAGTATATCTTATGACGTGGTTACAGCAAATATTGGCCTCTGTGTTAATATCTGTAATCATTTTAAGTAGATATAGGAGCTCTTGCTTTATTTCACCGATGTCTGTAAGCAGCAGTCCTGATGGACTCATTTTTAAACACGTAGCTAAACAGGAAGTGTATTTGTGAAATAAACTTGCTTCTGTACCTGTGTGTTTTGGTGCCCACGCTGCCTCTGCTCCTAACTGGGATTGGGTCTCTCTGCAGCCTTCTGGATCTGTACGGATGAACAGAAAGCAGGTTAGGTTTCACCGTCAGCTCCTCTGTGATGAAGCGCTTGAGGGGGAAATGCAGAAGTTTGCATCTACACCCCCGAGAAGATGCTGACAGAAAGCCAGATCGCAGCGATCGACAGACAGAGACTGATTGCGTTTGGAAAAAAAGACAACTGAAAGCTTCTGTAACAGAAAACAGATGAATGCAACTGCCAGGAGGGGGCAGAGGTGCTCTTCAGCCAACGTGAGGCTCTGAAACCAAGAGACGACACAGTAAAGAAAGACTACCGAAAAACAAGGAGGAAAAAAAAGGGGGGGAGAAAAAAAAAAAGGAGGGGATTCATGAAGCAGGAACCGAAAATCAGGCTGTTAGATGGCTAGAAACTCAAGAGGAGATGACTAACTGTGAGCAAATGGAAACCTGTCACGTGACTGTCCACTGAGCTGCATATGGTTCGACTCGTATGAGAACAAAATGAGGAAAAGCTCAACAACAGGCAGGATGGTTACTGTACCTGTGGCTGTTCTTTTAGGAAATCTGGGAGCTGAAATTCACCTTTATAGACCTGGAAAAACAAAGGGCCACATTTAGAGCTTCACAGTCAGCGCTGCACAGTTCAGCATCCGGGTTTCCATGGTGACATGTTAAAAATGTAAAATAGCATTATCCCTGCCTAAGTTCAAACTCAGCCGACAGAAAGAGATGGGGGAGGGAGACTGGGGGAGTTTCTGAAAACCAGCCACAGCAGGAGGCTGCCATGAAAACATCAGATCAAACTGGAGGCAGGGGGGTGGCCTGTAGGGCATACCTCTGCTGTGCATGTGGGATTCTCAGAATAGACACTGGGTGTTCCAGTAGTCCCATAAAAAACACACAAATCACATTTCTCACAAACGAGCGCTTTAAGCTTCTCCCTCAAAGCTGGAGATAAAGGAAGGATGCTGGAGCTGACGAGAGGAAACAGGAGGAAGCAAAGAGACAGAAAATGATACAAAGATTCACTAAAATGCTTCAATCCAGTTCGGCTTTCATCGTAGAGCTACATGCGGCATTTGGATTGTACGCAAACAACAATCCTGTTATTGCTATAATATTTTGTCCCTCCTCTATGGTTTACATCTCCAGTGCCCAACAACAATAAGACTCATCGGTTGACAAAGTCCGACCTCTTCCGGTCCCAATGTCTTTAAGCAGAGCTGTGCCCATCTCTGACTCCAGCTCTAGTAAAGTCAGCTTTCCATGAGCCGCTGTGTGTTGACGTGGTAGCATGGATCCATCCTGCTCTGCATCAACGTAGTGCAGCTGGCGGTGTAGCGGCGAGGCGGATATGTTTTTGGCACACCAGTTGTTGGTGACCACGTCAATCATGTATCGATCTTCTGATATCTAATGTGTCATATGACAAAGCTCGAATGGCATCCAGAGTCCCCGGATCTGTGTCTAACAGAGCAGATTTAGTCTGTGACACACACACAGACATTTACATAACATACAGCAGGAGTTCAAGCATCGCCTCCATCTGTCTCATTATCATGCCATCTTAAAGTGGTACCTATCCATTCGTATAGATGTTGGTGGAATAGTTTCAGAGTTACAGGAAGTAATCTCAGCCAACAGTGCTTTGCTGCAGTATTTGACTGTTTTTGCACTTCTATCCTCACGGCAACATCAAAAGGCAGCAAAGCCAAATCTGAGGCTTTATGTAGGAAAATGGGAGCTTCCCCATTGCCAATGAAAAAAAAGTGATTCAGTATCAATGAAAAGTATTTGATTGAGTCTGTGCTCGAGTTTAAAAGTCCTGTGCTCAACATTCTGGAATTCACTGATTCAAACGTTCCCCCAAAACACAAACTCCCTCCTTAATCCCCCTGCGTGCCTTCATGCTTGCTTGCGTGTTAGTCTGAAATTGAGGCAGGGCCAAAGGGGGAGTGTAATCCGACATTACTTCCCAAGGCAGAGACAGAGAGGCGAGTGCATGTTTCTGATTTCCTCCCGGGTGCCATTTTGCAGCTCTGTCGGCGCTCAGAGGCTCCAGGCCAGACTGCTCCGAGCCAGTCCGAGCCTTCTGCTCAGACGGAGACAGAGCACGTGCAGGGGAGGTGGAGCATGTTCTACATCAGGACACACCAGAATGCACACGCAGTAAATCCAAAGGATGTATAATTAAGATGTGTACAGATATAACGTCTAGATCAATCTGTCCTTCGGTGAGGAGATGGAACAAAGACCAGGCGACATGCCTGCACGATGGGGTCGATGTAGGAAGAAGCCAGCTTGTTTTTGTGCAGCAGACTATGATTTGCAGGTCCATTACCTCACAAGGATGTGTTCAAATGCTCATGGAAGGAGGAATATTCAGACTGGGAAAGATTTACCTTCTGTTCTATTCAGACAGACAAACAACGTCTGCTAATACAGGCCACGCTCCAGCATCCATCACGGTCACAAAGAGTTTCGCCTTCCCCTCAAATCTTCCCTGATAACAGATATCTGTTACCAAGTCTGTGTCCATACTGCATATAATCCAAAGGGAGCTAAACAATCCGGTCGTTCAGTGATGACGCGACGAATCCTACTTCCGGGTCTAAAGTAGTCTGCGTTTAATATGGCTTTTGTGTTATTAACATGTTTAATGTTTTGTATTTTCTTCTATTTAATCTCAAAAAGCTCCTAAAACAGTCAGTGATCACTGTTGACCTCCCTCGGCTTTTATTACCGCTAATCATTTATTTAAGCTCAGTTTTTAAAACCTTAGGATGTAACTACAGCCCAGCCCATGCAGCAGTACATGAATGACTAACCTCGTATTGTGGATGGATTATCTCAGTTGTTCTCCTGGCTGAAGTTTGGTCCTTTTACAGCATCCTGCCATGCGATTACATTTGTTCCTGACCACCGAGAACACTCACGTTAACTTTTATCAGTGGAAAAAAAGTTAGCTTGTTTATATTATGCTAACATAGCTGTGTCGCTAGCGGTCACGTAGCACATCATTATATAGCAGCTAGCCAAACTTCAGTAACCCTACAAACGTCACTGCTGTTTAGTTTTCTGTCTTCATTTAT